GAACCTGCTTCATTCACATATCACAAGTGATCTTTACTGTTTGCAGCCCCAGGAGCCTCAGAATCTCGGGGTTGGTATGGATCCCTTGGGCCCCAGCTACAAACTCCCTGATGGGGAACCGCAGAGAGACGTTGGTGGCAGTCGGCCTGCAGCAGCTACGGAGAGGAAACCCCACTCCCAGCCTTAGCTGTGCCTCAAGGCAGCGAGCGCGGGAGGCAGCAGAGCAGGAGTAGTGAGAGGCAGAGACCACAGAGCTTCCGGCAGCCAGAGCGCAGCTCCCCGCTGGTGACAGCATGGAAGTGCAGTGAGCAGCGACGGATGCCTGAGCGAGAAAGTGGAGGAGCAAGTGAGTGAGCGAGTGTGACAGATCGAACAACTGCTCTGTCGTTCTATCAGTAGTGTGGGCCTCTCGTGGCACCTTCGCCTGTGCGATTGTGGCGGTGTGGGAACTCCCGCCCCCCGGCTGGAATTTCACAAATGTTCACTCCCTGACCTCACTCACATCAAAGTGGACTCTGCTTTTTCCTCTAAATTTGTATTTGATGCTTTATTTTGGAATATCAGATTCACGGGAGGCCCCAAACATGGAGCAGAGAGCTTTGTGAACTCCTAACCCTGTTTCCCCTCAGTGGGGACAGCTGTCCATAAAAGGCCTGGTCCCTGAACCAGGACTTTTAGATTGGTACCGTGTGTGTGCGTGGCTCTGCGTCATTCTCTCACACAGGCTTCTGTAACCAGCTTAGTAACCCAGACGTAGAATTCACCTCACAGGCCCAAAGTCCATGCAGATGTCTCCCACACCACCCTGATGAGCCGGCCACCCCGCCACTGCCCACTCTGTCCCCTGCACTCTAACCTGCTCTCCAGCACCACACCTTCCCCGTTTGGGTGATGTAAGAGTGCAGTTATGCAGCATTTCACCTTTGGAAATTGCTTTTCTTTTTATTCCATGCCACTGAGATTCATCTACAATCCTGCATTTATCAGTTAATTTGTTCTTCTCATCTAAGTACTATGTCACAGTCTAGCTATACTGTAACTTGCTTCAGAAATAACCTTTTATAGAACATCTTAGCTTAATAACCTTTTATAGAACACCACATTTATAGTGTGGTGCTATTGCAAGTAAAGGTGTCATAAAAATCGGTTGCATGTTGTCGAGTTCACATAGTTTTATAATTGCCTAAGAGTGCAAGGACCAGGCAATACGACAGTGTATGTGCAGCAGAAACTACCCAACTGTCTCCCAGAGCAACTGCACCATTGTAAGTTCCCACCAGCGTGTACGAGAGATCCAGTCACTCTGAAATCCCCTGGTAATGCCTGAATTTTATTCTGTGCTGTGCATTCTGCCTGTGCAGTGCTGTGACCTCCTGTGTAGTGTGGTGGCATTGCATGATTTGTAATATGCACTTCCCTAGTGGCCTTAGACATCTTTTTCTATGTGTATTTCCATTAATACATTCTTCTTCAGTGAGATGCCTTTTACCAATTTTCTAATTGACTTTTTTAAACTTTCAGTTGGAAAGTTCCTTTCTCTAGATACGATTCCTTTTCAGATGTATCCTTAGATTTCTCTTTTTATGTTTGTATTGGAGATCGAACCCAGGGCCTTCACACAGCAACCCATTCCCCTGTCTCTTATTTGTATTTTTAATTTTGAGAGAGGGTCTTGGCAAGCCGCTGTGTCGCCAAGGGAGACACAAACATGCCATCCTCCTGCCTCAGCCTCCCAGCTGAAATCCCAGGACTCTGAAGTGAGAGCCCGCTGTGCTTGGCTTGGAAAATATTTTATCCCATTCTCTGGCATGCTTTTTTCATCCTTTCAGCCAGGTCTTTAATAAAGCAATGATCTTAACTTTTAAAAGGTTCAATTTATGTATGTATTTATTTATTTGTTGCTCTTTTGCTCTTCGAGTCTTGTGTCAGAATTCCTCACTAACTTCTAAGAAGTAAAAAGTTTGTTATCTGTTACCTTCTGAAAATTTCAGTTTTATATTTTTCATTCGACTATATGATGTATTCTGAGCAAAATTTTGGATAAGGTGTAACATTCACACTGAGTTCAATTTTTTACTGTAGAAAGTCAATTCTTGAGCATTATTTATTTAAATGATTATTCTTAATCTATTGAATGACTTTTGCCTCTTTTCCAAATACCAGTAGGCTACTCCTGTGTGTATTTATTTCAGGACTCAATTCTGCTTTACCTGTGTGTCTTTCCCTCCACTAGTAATACAGTGTTGATTACAACAGCTAAAGCACAAATCTTGACATCAAGTGGGATGGTACTATATGATACTATAAATCAGTAGGATGTACACACATACAGTATGATACTGTACATCACGCTGGATTATTTTATGGAATTGGTTCAAGTATTCTATTTTTCCCCATGGTATAACTTTTAGAATAACTTTGTCTATACCCAGAATAACTGTATTGCAGGTATCATTAAGAATGGTATTCACGTGTACATAAGTTTGGGAAGGATTGGGAAAATATATGTACTCTGCCCATGCTCTATGGAGTGTTTCATTAATGTGAATTCAGCCCTGTTGTTGAGGGCTTTCTAGATCCCTTGCATTCTAGATCTTTGCTGGTTTTTTCAGACTAGATACGTTATCACTGAAGAAGAATACTTAATTTTTCAATTAGAATATTGGATTTGTTTTTCCCACTTCATTCTTACCTGTCTTTGTTTTACACAACCCGTAGCCCTCTGGATTGGGATTACAGATTTCAGATTACTATTTTTTCTTAACTGCTGAGCATTTTCATTATTATATAATTTTCCTTTCTGTCCCTGGTAAAGTCTTTCTTTGTCTATAGTAATGTCTTCACTTAAAGTCCATTTTATCTATATTAATATAACCACCATTCAATTTTTTTGATTAATGCTTTCATAGTATGTCTTTCCTTCATTTTACTTTTGGTCTACAATTGACTGTACATTTGAAGTAAATTTCTTGCTTGTGGCATAAAACAGCATAAGATTTTTTAATCTTCTCAGGCACAATCTTTCTCTTGGCTGGTGTTTAAAGAAGCTGTCTTGAGCATCAGGAAAGAAAATGGAACATAGAAAGTGCAAAATTAGAGATAAATACAATGCACTTCGTTTCTCCTCCTGAGTTTGCTGAATTATGTTTGACCATGGCAGGAAATATTTTCACTCTCTCTATTGTGGTTCCAAATGTACACAGAAGAAATATTAAGACCATTACATTAAAAGTGGAAGACAATAAGGGGTAAAAAAGGAAGCAATGCTACCATATGACTTAAATAGGAAAAATGCAAGAATAATTCCACACCTATAATTCCAACAGCAGCCACCAAAAAGCTGCATAATGATATACAATGAAATCATTAGAAATACATCAAAATGGAATTCTTTAAAAAGTTCAGCAACCTTAGAAAAGTGACAAAATATAAAGAGAAAACAAAAAGAAACTAAACAAACAGAAAACCAAAAAGGCATAGGTAAACCTTATCCTATAATGACGACAAAAAAAATAAATAAATTCTCTTTTGTGAGTGTGTAAATCCTCTTCATTTTTCAAGCATTAAGGGTCATAAAAAATGCCAAAGGGAAACCCGAAGAACAAAGTTTATACATTTCAAAAGAATGTTACTTCCTATCCAAGCCTATACGGAAGGATAGCTGTTACTAAGAGTCAGGTATGTGTCATTTCTCAACTTTATCCACAACTGAATACAGGAAGGAAAACAAGAGGGAGTGGTTGTAGAGAAAGAGAGCACAACTGGGAAAAGGCACACACTGACTGTCGCTCTGCAAATCGCTCTCTTTCGACAACACACCGGGGCACTCTGCTCTAAGGGTGTAGCTCTCTCCCATTCATTTTGGACTGAGGATTGGTCAGAGTATGAGTCTGCTGTGATTTTTTTAACCTATTTCCAAACCGTGCTTTTCAGAGCATTGCTGCAGTGCCTGTAATGACCTTCTAGACCGTTCTGCACAGAGACAAGGCCATGAGGCTTCGTAGATCTTTTGGCTTCCAGTACTATGAGCCCAAGTCTAGGGCTCTGCTACAGCAACATAAAATCGATGGGTGCTGGGGATGAGATCCGCACAATTATTCAGAAACCAGCCAGAAGTGGAGGGTCGGCAGAAAGCCGAATTCTACTAGAGCTGGGGCCTGTGTTCCATTATCCACGATAAGCAGTGGCAATAAGGAAGGTGGTTCAAGCATAAGGACCTGAAACCAGAGAGACTGAGTGCTTGGACTATATATATATGAAAAATCCACTGAATTCATCTCAGCTGCATATCTTAGCAGTGAAGTACTGACACTCAGAGAAAACGACTTTTATGACTTAAAATGAGCTACCATTATATATGAATCAATTAATTGTATTGCATGAAAATTAGATTATTTTCTGTAAGCTATACCATGACTCAATGAAAACATAATTCCACTAAAAATACGAGCACCCATGTATTATATCTAATGAAATAACAGGATTGAAGGATAATCAAACAAATTCACAAAAGGAAATGTTTAGATAGGAGCGGAAGTTAGTACAAATGTATGTGGACCATGACCACACACCAAAAAGTTCTCTAACACCAAATACATCTAAATGAGAAAACCTGAAAAAAGATCAATTACTAAATTTATAAATGACTAAGAAAAGCTTTGGGCTGACAAAAAGGTGTTTCAATCATTATTCATACAAATCTAGGTTCCTAATTAATATAATGAAAGAGTCCACTAATCTATGTTCTTAGAATTACACGTTAAAAATCAGTATTCTTTATTAGAAAATGAATCCATTCCACAAGAACTCTGGTTACATGGTGGCTTGTTAACAAAAAAGTGGACAAACAAATGAAAAATAGAAATCCTGTGCAAGTGATTCTCAGGAAAACCAAATTAAAAACATTGATGCAAGTTGCTGAAATGTACACAGTTCAAGAAATCCTGTATTTCATTCTTTTTCTTGGTCCTTCTCTTCATCCTGCCTAGATTTTAGTAGTCATGACCCCAGGAAATAGCACCGAGGTGACTGAATTCTATCTTCTGGGATTTGGTGGACAACAAGAGTCCCAGGCTGTCCTCTTCACTGTATTTCTTATCGTCTACATGACATCCATGGCGGGTAATACAGGGATGATCCTGCTCATCAACACAGATCCCAGACTGCAAATACCCATGTACTTCTTCTTACAACATCTGGCTTTCGTTGACATCTGCTACACATCTGCCATCACTCCGAAGATGCTCCAGAACTTCATGGTGGAAAACAAATCCATATCATTCAGAGGATGTGTAATCCAGTTTTTGGTGTATGGGATATTTGTGACCAGTGACTGCTACCTCCTGGCAACTATGGCTGTGGATCGCTATGTAGCCATCTGTAAGCCTCTTCGCTATCCCATAATCATGTCCCGAACACTCTGCATCCAACTGGTAGCTGGCTCGTATCTCATAGGATCAATAAACGCCTCTGTACACACAGGAGTTGCATTTTCCCTGTCCTTCTGTAAGTCCAACATCATTAATCACTTTTTCTGTGATCTTCCTCCTATACTCTCGCTTTCCTGTTCAAATATTGACATCAACATTAAGCTACTTGTTGTCTTGGTGGGATTTAACTGGACATTCACTGTGTTGGTCGTGATCTTCTCCTACATCTACATCACGGCCACCATCTTAAAGATGTCCTCCGCTGTGGGGAGGAAGAAGACCTTCTCTACCTGTGCCTCCCACCTGACGGCCGTCACCATTTTCTATGGAACCCTCTCCTACATGTACTTACAGCCTCCTTCTGAGCATTCCCAGGAGAACATGAAAGTGGCCTCCGTATTCTATGGCATTATCATTCCCATGTTGAACCCTCTGATCTACAGTTTGAGAAACAAGGAGGTCAAAGAAGCTGTGAAAGCAATAGGGAAAAGGTTCTTCATTTTGCATGCAAATCGTTAAAATTCAGCACATCAAAGCACACCGTGGAGATGCATCCCCACAATTGAATTATTCTAAATTTGAAGACATTCAATATTCAAATCAGGGCTACCCTTCATCACACAAATCTTTGATTGTGGAAAATATTCTAAAACCTCTCCTGAACTTCATTTTCCCTTACGTACAGATTGAAAAACATGTCTTCCACAATTTATGAAGAAGTCCTCATAAAGACTATCAAAAATACAAAGAAGCTTGCATGAACTTTAAAATATTACTTCAAATATTTTTCAGACACATCTTAATCCATAGGTAAATCCATATTCAAATAAAACTGTCCTTGAAATTTCATTTCCTTATTTCCTTCTTTAAATAAATTCCTTGAATTGTCTAAAATGTGGAGTGTTGTAAATTTTGCTTTTAATTATGACTGAAATATGAGTATAAAATAAATTAGTTGCTTTAAACACCATCTCACCACTCAAGCTAACCCTTTCAACCCAGTGTCTCCACATGTGTTACCTTCCCTACCCTCCAAAGTACTTACTTCTTTCATTACTTACTCTATTTATCCGCTCTCCATCTTCTCTTTCACGGAAAAGTAAACTCTACAGATTTTTTTCTATGCCATTTCCAAGGTGATAACCTAGAAAAAACCGGTTATGGAAAATCTGAGGAGTGGTCGTTCACTTAAAAGTCACAGCCGTCATTGCAGTTGAAACAAAGTTGCACTAAAGAAGCTCATTAGGAGTTCAAGTGGACAGCACTTGTTAGCACAGGCTGCACTTCGCCCGCCTGTGGGGTGCAGTCAGTGGAGGGAAATGTTCCTGTCAGTTTTCAAAGTGCACCACACAGCGGTGTGAGCACAGAAGAAATGTTTTTTTCCACTGACTTCTGACCAGGATAAGACTCATCCTGCCATAAAAGTCTGTAAGAGAACATTCAAGTTGAGTCTCTGTGGAGACACCAGATTCGCCACTGTATCACTTGTGTCTATCAATTTTCAGGAATTTATTCCATGCTTATTAAAATGATCCCTGCAGAAGTTAGCAAGGTATGCACGTGGAAGTCTCCCGCGTGTCCCTTAAGCAGATGGAGAACCAGCTGCAGCCCGGCCCCGCAAACTGCCTTTGTGGCCGCCCATCTTTATTTCAGGCTCTGTCGCCAGTGCGCGTTTGTAACCCAGAGCAGTGGGGTTCCCTTGGAGGGATCCGTGTGCACACATGACAGGCTGATCGTTTCGGGTCTCTCTACCCGCTCTCTCTCCCGCGTCCTCCTCTCCACTTATTCCCCACCTCCAGGAGTGTTATCGTCTAGCTTCCTGTCATCTTTCTGCTATGCTCGCCTTTCTTACTTAACTTCGCATTACAACCTCCAGTTCCATCCATTTTTCATCAGGTGACATTGATTGTATTTTCCTCACAGCTAAATCGTATTCCTCCGTGCAGATGTGATTCTCTTCATACCTTCATCAGTTCACATGCAACTCGGTGGTTTTCTCAGTTAGGTTACTGTGAATTGCAGTTATGAACCTAGATACTTCTGTGTCATTATAATATGATGACTTTTTAGTTCTTTGAGGAATGTACTCAAGAGAGGTATAGCTGGGGGAAATGGAATTTCTGTTTTTAATTTTTTGAGCAATCTTCATACTGACTTCTATCCTGGTCATACTAGGTTTGGATTCCTAGCAACAATTAACAGATTTCCTCTTTCCAGCAGGCTCACCAACATGCATGGGATTTTATGTTCTTGATAATGGCTCTTCTGCCTGGGCTAAGCTGGAATCTTTAGTACAGATGGTACTTTACTTCTTTTGTTTTTGTTTTTAGGTACCAGGGATCAAATTCAGGTCCTTGTGCTTACAAGGCAGGTGGTGGAACCTCTGAGCCAAATCCCCAGCCCCTGTTTGTGTTGATTTTTAGTACTTCACTTATTAATGCTGTGTGGGTGGTGAAGGAAAATATTTGAACCCATTTTCATCACATACTATACAGGGATATGTTCCTACTTAAAGAAAGTTGTTTTTCAGCTGACTCAGTAATTAGAATGTGGTTTGCTCTGCCTTAGCTGTTCATGAGAAACACCCTAGTTGAATCTCTGTAGAGACAAGAGGTTCCTTCATGTATACAGCTGCCCTGTATCTGTTCACTGCCAGGAGTTCACTGCATACCAACTCCTCCAGTTTGCTAATAAGTGAACAAAGTAGGCACCCAGAAACCACGAATGTGTCCAGTAACTGAAATGTACACCACCCCAGTCCTGCAGAGAAAACTCCTCTCTTCTCCTGTCAGCCGGTGTTAGGTGAGGACTTGCCAGATCCAGTCACTGTTTAAAACCTCACCAGGAAGGCTTCCATCTTCAATCGAAACTTGAAGGCAGTCATGAGCAGAGGTGGTTATCTTATTCTGAACATACGTCAGAGCTGTGAGAAGAAAATTGGTATCGAGTACAAATGGCTTGGAACGGCAGGGCAGGGGGACACTGGGAACACTGACTGAATGCCTCTCCTCAGTGGTCCTGGTTCCCCAACATTGTTACTGTGTAGACTAACTACACAGTCAGAAAGAGAAAGAAATGACCTATCATTCTGTAGGTGGAGCCAGTGCTATGGCAAAATACAGAGGGGTTAACTACAAACTGGTCCTTGTCTTCTTTCTTCCTGACATTGATTCTATGAGCAAGGCAGTGTGACCACGAATGGTTTACATCCCACAGTCTGTGGTACACTTAAAGCAAACAATACAGTTACAGTCATCATTGGGATCTTGTACCTTTACATGATGTGTCTTGGTTCTTGTTTTTTCCCCCTTAGCCCTGCCCTCCCTTCACCCACTTCACCCTTCTCTATTTACAGAGACTTTGTTTCCATCTGGGAACAATTAGTCTTACCCAGTGAAAACACTGTCCATTGGCTTCATCTACCAGGAGGTTATCCTAAATCGGTGTACTGTCCTGCAAACGTGGAATTTCAGCGTTTAGAGGAGGTGTCGGCCACCAGACAGCCTGACAGAGTGGCATCATGGGAGTTGGGAATATTCTCTACCAATTTCAACCTCTAGGGGAGCTGGACTGTGAAAGTAGTATCTGGTGATCCAAGAGTGTGTTGTATCCAATACGAGGCACATGGCCAGAATGTAAATGAGCTCCAGGAGAAAACATCAAAGACTCAGGTGAGTTTCAGGGTTGGTGACTGCCTACATTTGTCCTAATGGAGTCAAGAGACTGACACCCTACCCCCCCACCCTGGAAAGAGGGAAGCTGGACACCTCACCACTCCCAGACTCTGCCCGGTGCAGCTCCAGCTGGCTGCTTCTTGTACCTGTACTTGCATATACAGCAATCCCTGATGTCTTCCTATAAATTAGCACGTCAGCAGTCTATAAACAACAGAAATTTCTTCCTCATAGTTCCAGAGCCTAGCGGGTCAGAGTCAAGATGCCAGTGTGGTTCTGGTGAGGGCATTCCTTCTGGTTACTGACACTACTCCTCAGCTCACTGTGTCCTCACGTGACAGAGAGCGGTTAGAGAGCTCCCTAACTGGGGGTGACAGAGTACCTAAGCTTTCCATCCACAGCATCTGAGGGTTATTATGGAGAACCCCAAATTAGTAATGGGTCTACGAAAGGGCGGTTTCTGGGGCCCCTGACACTTGGATGGCGTCAGACACAGCAGCACTTCCGTGGGAACTGTCCCTTCACACTGTGGACTTCTAACCTTTTGAGGGTGGCTATGCCGGGCAGCAAACAGAGGAGAGACAAAGACATGAGGTGACATCCGGACGAGAGGGTTGCATCACTGGTCATTTCTGTCTGGGGAAACGGGAAAGCCACCCCACAGGAGCTCTAGGGAACGATGCAGAAAGACCCTCGGAGTTGCTCCAAACATCTCTCCCCGGTGGTCGGTGTTCCCCAACATTTTTACCTCCTCACACATCGCTGCTGATTCCAAGGAGTGATCTTCCCTGGATTTACAGGTATCCACTAGGTAGGGAACAAGAAAGAGACACACAACATAAGGATGGACAAAACTGTTTCCACACAGGCACTGAAAACAAGTACCAAGATGTGAACAAGAAAGAGATTTCAGCTCACCTACATACACAGGTCTGACCAGTGGCAACTATGGACAACCTGACTGCTGGATTTGGAAAAAACTTTTGCTTCCCCTCACCAAAGTATAAATGTGATTCCTCTTGTAGCCTCATGGTCATTTCTTTCCAGTTTTGAAATGAAGTGTAATGTCTGGAGCTACAGCAGGCACCATACACTATGAGGCAAGCAACATATAAGGAAGACTCAGCACTGGTCTTGACGCCCACACTACCATTATAAAGGGGAAAAGACACTCCCATGCAGAGAGCTACAGACTCAAAGATCAAGCTTTCTTTAGGAATAATAGTTCAATTAAAATCTTAGCCCTAGATGTATAGCCAAACAAAGCACACTGTCATTTACTTCACAGTTTCCTGAAATAATCTAAGGTTACAAATATCACTGGAATAAATATTGGGTACAGTTGGTCTTTAAAATGTGTAAATTTTTAGAAAAATAAGAGAGAATTAAGTGATCATCCTTTTAATGTACAAAGGTCAAAGTCATATTACAGAATGCATTTATACCACAATATTCTTTTTTTTCTTTTTATTGAGTTTATTGGTACAATCTAGGTATACAATACAATTACATTCATCATTGGGATTCTGTACCTTTACATAATAGGTCTTGATTCTCATTTTTTCCCCTTGTCCCTGCTCTCCCTTCACCCCCTCCTACCCTCCCCATTTACAAACACTTTATTTCCATTTTCTCAATTTCTCATATATTTTCCTCTCCCTTATTACCTTTTCCCCACCCTTACCACTTTCCCTACACCTTTAGCCCTTTACTTCCTATTTCACATTTTTAATTATCTCATTAGGATCCTGTATACTATTATAGTTTTTCACACGAGAGAAACTATTCGGTATTTCAGTTAAAGAAATTTCTGTATGAACATTAAAAATAGGGAATCCTATTAGAATCTTATGCATTGTTGCAGATTATTCATACCAGGGAAACTATTTGGTATTTACACATGTATGACTTATTTATTACTGACATTTAGAAATGGGAAGAAAGGAGCTAAAGGTGTAGGGAAGGTGGGATGGGTAGGGGAAGAGTAAAAAGGGAAAAGAAAAAAATGTGAGAGAATGAAAAGATGAAAATAATGTGTTTGTAGATGGGGAGGGGAGGAGGGGGTGAAGGGAGGGCAGAGGTAAGGGGAAAAAATGAGAATCAAGACTTAAAAAAAATAGGGAATCCTAAAATAAAACTAAAAAGGAAAGTAAAAGAGAAAAGGCAATGATGTAACATTAAAATAATCCTTAATTCTGGAGATGAAAATGGTCCCTGAACATATTAAAATTGCTTCTCGCTCTTATAGTCTTATCTTATTTTTTTCATTATTTAGAGAATACTTTATTAGTTTCTGTAATCAAACCCACGTAGATATGACCTTACATATTTAGTACGATGTGTTACCCCTGTAAAAAAATGAAAAAAAATAAAAAATAAAAATAAAAATAAATTAACATTTCTAGACCAATATGGTTGTCCATTCCTGTACAATGGCATCAACACAGTAAATTGGGATGACTTTTTCCAAAGTTGGCAGCACC